GAGTGCAAGCCCGACTGTCGACGTTTTCGTAAAGCGGGTGGTTGCTGTTGGGAACAACGCAGCAAGCGCACCGAACGTGATAGTGGTTTCAGGTGGTCCTGGTCTCTCCTCCTCCACCTGTAAGAAAATGTTTGACATAACTTCCAGTGAATGAAACTAATCAGGAGCTCTTGCTTGTCATAGTGGAGTGGGCATTGCAGGATGTACACGAGGGTATGGGAGGGAATGTCAATGTGTACTTGATTGAACGCCGCGGTACTGGACACAGTATGCGCCTGGATTGCACGGCAGCACAAAGCATGACCTCCGGGTCTCCATCAGGCGGAAAAGTCGAGCCTTCAGAGGTTCCTGCTTGTGCTCTGGATCTGCAGAACACATACGGGAATCTCGCTGCGTTCTCGACCACGAGCGCTGCAATGGACATTCTGGACTTCCTGGCCACGTATACAAATGGCTTGAGTACTTTTGTGTACGGAAGGAACTATGGAACGGTGGTTGCTCAGCGTCTGATGCAGTTGAATCCGACAACCGTGACCGGTTACATTTTGGACAGCGTCATGACCTCTTCACTCGCACCCGACCAGAGGTCATACTACCCATCGCGGGATGCTGCGTTTGGCGAGGTGGCCGAGCATTTTATGGAGCTATGCGCGCAAGACAGCGAATGCAGCGCGCATTTCAAGGACACCAGCTTGTCTGCTACGCTTCATGATGTGCTTTCAAAGTTTGACAGCAATCCCAACTCGACCTGTGCTGCTATGGTGGCGGAATTCACAATGACGACACCATCAGATGGCCTTCGGAAGCAACTGGGTGGCCTTTTGAATAAACCAATCTTGCGGTCCTTAATCCCACCGATCGTGTACCGACTCCATCGCTGCGATGCCAATGATGTCGAAGTCTTGAAGATGTTCCTCCAGGTCAACACGGACTATACCTCGATGCCGAACGAAAACGAAGCTATTGCTTCAGATCTGCTTGGCGATTTGGTGTTGTTCTCTGAATTTTGGGAGACTCCTACACCTTCTCAAGCCGAATTGCAAGCTCGTTTCGCAACCGCGGGCATGTTGGAAACCCCCGTTTACGACGTCCTTCCCCAGTATTGCGCCTTTTCGAAAGAGCAGTCGCTACAATGCGCTGAAACTGGAGTCAAGAGCTACGACGCCAACGGCATCATATACCCGCACGACCAGTACTCGAACGCTGTTCCTACCATCTCCAGCCAAGCTAGCGTGCTACTTATGAGTGGAGGATTGGACCCGGTGACGCCTTCCAAGTATGCCAAGTTTCTGTTTGAAGCGCTTGATACAACCAAGAAGGAGCTCGTTCTATTCGACTACGTGCCGCATTCGGTGGTCACTTCGACAATGTATGGCGAAGATGAAAAGGACTGCGGGTTGGATCTGCTGATCTCATTCGTTTCCAGCAACGGTGACCTTGCACACTTGGACAAGTCATGCATGGCCAAAATGCCTGCATTCGACATGAAGGTGGCGGTTGAGTCCGCAAACTCCTATTTCGGCACCGATGACGCGTACAACGGTGTGCCGGCCCCCGCTCAGCAGGATGCAGGTGCCACGCCAGCGTAAGAGTGACCTTGCAAGGGTTCCGACTCCAGTGGAGCAAAGCAGAAGTGTCAAGCTGAACCTACGCAGCAACACAATGATGCATAGAGTTCAAGGGACGGACGCACTCTTCAAGATCAGTGAGCTTTTACCTGTAATTAAGAGTGTCGAGCATTCATGGTCGTCGTTAGTTCGTGCTATATCCGTCGTTTTCTCTTCTGGTAGCAGTAAACATGAAATTGTTGGAACGCTGATGCAAAAGGACACACACGCACGTCGGAGTTGCGCTCAGTGGAGAATGCATTCTACATAGCAGTACAGCGAGCCAACGAAACCTACTCCATCGCCACTGACTGGGCGAGATCACTCTTCGGATTTTCTTGTACGATAATGCAGTGTCACCGAAGTCCTTACTGCAGACAATAAGAACTCGTGGCAGCTGCATGCAGTCTCTTCGATAGCGTGCAAGCAACTAATGTACATGTCGTAATCTGAATCGGGCTCACACGACGGTTACCGCCCGATATGAATGCACATAGTATATGTGATATACAGCCCTCAGATCAGTTGATCCGTGACCACTGATGTGGTTCATAATCTGATTCTTCCATTGATGACAGATTGGTGAACCATCCATCCATATTTTAGGACACTTAGTTTTACAATCTGAACTGGTTCTGCCTTAGAAATAAAGAGTTGTATGAGGCTTTTAAAAATACAATTGGCAGTTCCCTTTGAAATGATTGGCAGTTCCCCCTTTGATCCAGTGTATATACGTAACTTGTTTGGACGTCAACTGGTCGCAAAGAGTAAGAGCCTTGTTGTGGCGCGTACTCTAAAAACTTTGTGTGAAAGATCAACGAAGATCGTTTCAAGAAGTGCCATGGACCAGGAATTGAAGCCTTACGAGCCTGAGGACTCTCTGAGAGTCTTCGTCAATTAATTTTAATAACTAGAGAGCTTCTACAAGTTTGGAGACCCTCTCTAAACATATGGGAACTTACATTTCGTAGCACTGATAAACTTTAAGAGTCGCAAGTCTTTGTCTGACCAAGAGCTGTAGAGCCCCGCTGCAAAATCGGTCTCGCCTTACAAATATAAGTAGATAATTTTGTGACATATTTATCACTTTCTTCAGAGCGGACACTGTTTAAAATCAGCTAAATAAGTACTTTTGAAAGGCGAATTTAAAGAGGCCGTCGAAAAAGCGTCCTGTGGGCCACAGAACCTTTGATTCCTGTTGGAAATCTATGGGCTCATCCAAATGACGAAAAAATGATCGAAACGTTATTTATGAAAGAACATTCTCGATCATAGGAATATGTGCTTGATGAAGGAAATGATGCTCACTATCCATTTCCCTTCTTACAGCGCGCCGGTTCGAAATCTACTGCGCTTAACAGAGACATTCTGCAGTATGAAAAGACCCTTGATGCGAGAAAGGAATACAAAGTAAGTTTCAAAAACTGGAATGCTAGATAAACCCGTTTATTTGCTGTGAGACGTCTTACATGATTTGTCGATCTAAAACGCTTTCTGTGCAGGACAGTTTAAATTTTCTCCTGGGATGTTAGCAATTACTCTCTTGTAACCCCCCGTACACAATTGTACATAAAAAGGACTTTTGTCGTGCTCTGCTATCCCACTTACCGCCTGAACACGAATTTTCGTGTAAGCGTGAGGTAATTGTTGCGCATCTTGGTACACTATTCATATTAGAGGTTTACTATTCGTGGATAGCAATTTGGCAGTGAGAGATTAACTGTCTAGTTTGGAATGTGATGTCCTGAGTGTGAGTTTTGTCTTCATTTAAGACAAAATGTATCAAGGTGTTGGAAAGGCTATCGGTAACCTTCTTAAATGCGTGTCGTAAGCCTCATGGAAAGAGGAGCCTGAAATATTTAGCTTTAATAAACAAGAGAAATCACTGAAGAATCCTGAACAGATCTCAAGAAGGTAGTTCCAATCAGTCAACAAAACAATATGAGCTCGATTTAATCTTTAACCTATGAAGCAGAACTTGCATTCCAACAGAAAATGATCTCAACTACTAAGAAATTTCAGGTTGGAGTAACAACGTAAAACTGGACTTTTTGAGCCTATTTCACGTATATAGAGTAGCGGGAAAGAGTTGTAAACTTGCGATCCCATTACCAACGATTGTGTCACCATACGTTGCTACTGCAGAAGAAAAACGCAAGGATCGACAGCCTCGAGGAACAGACATCGTCCGGCGCTTTTACAGTCCCAAGTGATTCTCAATCCTTCGTTCAGGTGATTTTAGAATCATCACCGTATCATCGTAGTGCGATCTTTATCGGATCTACCTCAACTCCTCAGTCAGGGGAAGACTTCTTGACTCTTAGTGTAGCGGAGCTACAGAGCTCCTTAAGTCAGAGGAAGACTTAACGCTCTACGAGAAACTTAGTTCCAAAGAGCTAATGACTTTACGAGTCAACAAGCTTTACAGCTTCAGATCCCTGTTCCAGGGGGACCTAACGATTCAGTGAATCTACAGCACTCAGTGCTCAAGAGTAGCTACCTCGAGGAGGTGTCGATAGCTCTTAGTGATCAGTGAGTAACGATCAAGACGGCTCGCAAGCCACGTGTCCTTCCGATCAAAATGGGAACTGATTTTATTTTTGTTTAAGCCTATAGAATATCTTAATCCTACTCAAAGATCTTTCGTACCTAATGGCTGACACTCGTCAGCCCCTACAAACCAATAAGATATTCGATATCACCTTCACAAAGGGATAACCTCAGGTGTGTAAAACCTCAGGTAAAACGTACCATAATTTCGTGCAACCCCGTTGCACCCTCCCCCACCAGACTGACGTTTACCAGAACGTCAATCGAACTTGTGCTCCTAAGCGAGAACAGTGCGCGTACGGTAAACCTCACGGCAACGTACGTTCTAGCACGATGTCCTCATCACCAAACGAGTCAAAGGCTCTGTGTGACTACCTCGGGATAGAGGAGGAGGTGGACTATGGTAGCGATACCAGTGTCCGCGGTGATACAGGGACAATGTCCGGCTCACTGATGCCTGAGGCACAACCTTTGAACACCGCAAATCCGTTTGCTGAACGTGGAGGTGCGAGCGCGCCACCAGCGCAGTATGCAGCGTCTGGGTCTGATGAGACTATCATCACGAACCCGCTCGATGAGCAACAACAACTGCTTGTTCAAAGAGAAGAAAACGCTCAGCGTCATGTACAAATGACTGTAATCCTTGAACGCCAGCGTGACTATGTGTTCACCCCACCCAGTGTGGAGGAACGTCTGCGTCAAGCGGCCGGCCATACATTGGCAACGTGGGTCATTGGCCATGGGCCTAAGACTCCTGAGGAAGTGGTGAGATGCTAGGCACTACGTGAGAGGTACCTGGAGCCGCACCTTACGACTCAAAGTCAATACAAGGCACGCCTTGACATGCAAGCGCGTGGTAAACCGGTTCCACCGATCAAGGGTATACCCATTCTCTTGTTCGCAGGCGAAACAGTGAGCGAAGAAGACAATGCCTTTGTTCACTGGGTGCACTATGTGCGTCTCATCAGCAACATCTTTGCTCTAAGGGCTAGTGCCAGTGTGGCTGACGTGCGTCTTGAACGCAAGCTTCAGTATGATTATGCCGAGCTTAAGGCCAGAGGCCAATTGCGCAAGCGCACGCGCTATGCTTCGGCTACTAAGGTAGCCGCGAGTGCTGGTCAGTCTGTGGCCAACAAATCACCAACCCGCACCACTAGTGGCGGGGAACGGCCTCGGCCTCGAGATGATTATGGCCACGATGCTCAAAAGCATCCAAAGCATACGGGTAGTCTTGCCGAAGGGGTACCTCAAATTCTTATGAGTTTTAGACTCAGGGTACCCACGCCACTTTACCAGATACTGGTATTGGCCCTAACGACGACGACGTCGTTTCAGTAGTCTCTCGACATGAAATTGACGACACCCATGCTCATCGAGCAAAGTCGGTGGCGGCCGGTGGACCGGTGGAGGCCCACGAGAAATTGGTTCTCGAAGTGAAGGGTCTTCAAGAGGCCTTGGGTAAGTCCCAGTGCATGCTGGATGCGATGCAAAGCCGCCTTCAGGCGATGGAGCAAGCTCAAACTCGGAGCGAGGCTCAGTTCGACTTGCTGATTCGTCTACTGCAATCCGGGGCAGTGCCCTTGTCGTCGGCGCAAGCACCTCCAAGTTCACAAGGGAAGGATCCCGGTACGGCTTAAGTAAGACTACGTAGAACACTGAATGTGTGCGCAATTTGCGCGGGAGGTTTAGCGTATACGCAAGTCCCTTCTTGGCCGTGACCGTAAACGGTCCAATAAAGCGTGGACGCAACTTTGTCTTAAAGACAGCAGACACTACATTTGTAGGTAGATTTTTAGCATTGAGTAGTACTTGGTCTCCGACCTCATAACGTTCAATACAATTTCTGCCTTTTGCATCATCTTGTTGTTTTTCGGTATCTTGGCTATCAGCCATTGCGTCACGCACATGTCTTAAGACATTTAATCGCGTTGCGAGAAACTCGCTTACCTGTTTTTGAACAGTAGCAGGGCTGATATCAGCAAGCCGATCGGCAACCGCTCCCCCACCAAGCCCTGATTCACGTAGTGATAGCGTTAACGGAACGCGAGGGTGAGTGAGGCCGTTTATATAGAACGGAGTTAAGCCTGTGGAGGCATGAACAGAGTTATTTAACGCAAGCTCAACAACAGGGAGCATGGAGCTCTAACGCCTAGGCGTATCAGCGCAAAAACTGCGCAAAATGTCGTTGATGACGCGGTTTACACGCTCAGTCTGACCGTTGGTCTGCGGATGATCCGCTGTGGAAATGTCCAAACGAGTGCCAAGCACCTTGAAGATAGACTTCCAAAACTTTACAGTGAAGCGGGGGTCTCTATCATAGATAATTGCCACCGGCAAGCCATGTTGGCAAAACACACGGTCGATAAAAAGCTTTGCTGTACCTTCAGCATCGATGCTATCCGGCACCGCCGCTAAGTGAGCCATTTTGCTTAATCGGTCAAAAAAGATCACAATACCAGTGTTGCCTTCCAAATCTTTCGGTAGGCCAAACACAAAATTAATGCTCATGGACTCCCAACAACCAGTGGGTACTGGCAAAATAGCCAGTGGCGCCGCCGCATGTGCCGAGGGTTTAAGCCGTTGACACGTTTCGCACGTACGCACATAGGTGCGCACCCACTTATAAAGTTTGGGCCACCAATAACTTTGGCTCACCGAGCTATAAGTCTTCTCACGACCGAGATGACCACTTAAAGCAGTATCATGTGCCTCATAGAGGATTCGATACTTTAATTCCTCATCATGAGGTACAGCGATACGAGGCTTATCCTCAATATCCGTGCGATAGCACAACAGGCCATTATCGATGGAATATCGATGTAGCCTCGCGCGTAAACGTGCCGACAATTCTATGTCCGAGTCTTTAAACTCATCGCTCCCAAGAGCACGTAGCAAAGCTACACACTGATCGTCCTTGGCACATGCCGCACGAATTAAGTTAGGGACTGACGACGACAGAGTCGTAACATGAGCAAGCTCATAGTCAGGTCGACGCGATAGCGCATCAGCCAAATCGTTTTGCTTACCTGGCTTGTACTTCACCTCGAAGTCATATTTGGCAAAGAAGGAAAGCCAACGAGCCATTCTCTGTGAGAGATGAGGCGACTGTGTCGCAGTGCGTAATGACGCATGATCTGTATAGATCACAAACGGCTTAGAGCCAAGCAGGTGGACTCTGTATTTGACAAGAGCGTACTTCATAGCAAGAAGCTCTTTGTCATGAACAGGATAGTTCTTTTCAGCAGCTTTCAGCTGCCGAGACTCAATTGCGATGACGCGTTCGCGTCCGTCGACATCGGTTTGTAACAGAGCACTGCCTATGGCAAAGTCAGATGCGTCACAGACGACACTGAAAGGCCGACCAGAATCGGGCAAAGCCAAAATTGGCGCATGAAGGAGACTCTCCTTACCTGCTTCAAAATCATAATGTTCGGTATTACCCCAAAACTAATCCACATCCTTTTTAAATAGATTGGACAAAGGCCGAGCCATAATTGCGTAATTTGCACTGTACTTATGTAAGTAATTGGCAAGGCCAAGCCACTCACGCAGGTCCTTTTGGTTCTTGGGAATCGGCCAATCGATTATTGATTTCACCTTAGCGGGATCTGCTCGAAGGCCTCGCTTTCCAATGAAGCACCTTAAAAAGGGAACTCTTCTGCACCAAAGATTCACTTCGATGCGTTAGCATACAACTTATTCGTCCGCATACACTCGAGCACAGCTCGTAAATGATCAATGTGGTTATCCACATCTGATCGCCCATTCATTGCACGACTATGGACAAAAATGTCATCAAAGTACGTTTGTGCATAGCCTCGACTTGGTCTGAATAGCTGCGTTACCAGCCGGTTAAACGTAGCCGGGGCGTTAGATAGCCCTTGTGGCATAACAAGCCACTCCCAGAGCATACCGCTCGGAGTACTCACCGCTGTTAGCGGAATATCGCTTGCTCGCATAAGCAGTTGGTAGTAACCATCGACTAAGTCGAGTGCACTGTACAATGTACATCCTGCCACATTGTTCTAAAGCACATCCTTTCTAGGAATAGGCGTCTGCGCCGGTATAGTAGATGCATTGAGCTTATTATAAGCATGCACAATACGCCACTTGCCATTTGGCTTTTTGACACAAAATGTCGGTGTTAAATGGGGAGACTTGCTCATACAAACCATTCCAGCCGCGCTTAGCACGAAAGAATTCGTCAATGACGTCACACTGCTCTTTAGGCAAAGGCCACTGCCGTGTTACACAGTATTTTGTTCCAGGAACTCAGTCAATCTCATGACATACACCTCTATCGGGAGGTAAGGCAGAAGGTGGGTTGTGACACACCACATCTTGAAATTCCTAAACTAAATGATAGAACGGATCCAAAGGATCTTTAAGAATCGAAGATCAACTTCTTGCACTAAGTGCCGACTTTGTATCCTCTAGGACAGAATCATCCATTAACGAGAAAGAATTCAACTCAGTATCAGGTCTAATGACCGCTAACTAGGATAACTCTCCTGCCTTCAAGGCCTGGCTAAACTCGCCATCAGACATTTCGTGTAGCTCACAAAGAGCGTCCACGGATGGAAGGGTTTTAAGGCAAACACTGCCATCAACCTGACCAGTCACTCCATTAACAAGTGTATATAGTGTATTACTATTATCACTATGTGACTGTGAGGACGCCTGGCGCTTTAAAGTAGCTACCCGGCGTCTCGATCGTCTCTTCGAGACCTCACACCCCTTAGAGGTCGGGACAATATTGTCCCCATGGTTACTACCAACCATAGTACGCTCTATACGAGAGCTTTTGTCTTGACCGACATTCGGTGAAGTGTTACATAACTCGAACACTTCACCCAGTGGATTACAACGTGCCACTCCACGTGTATTATGCGGGCCTAGCCCCAAATTTAACGGCACCTCGCCAATAAAGTCATTACCGACATTAGGTGTGGTGCCCTCACGGCCGTCCACACTATACGGCGTATCGCCAACAGTATCATTACTGACATTAGGTGTGGTGCCCTCACGGCCGTCCACACTAAACGGCGTATCGCCAACAGTATCATTACTGACATTAGGTGTGGTGCCCTCACGGCCGTCCACACTAAACGGCGTATCGCCAACAGTATCATTACTGACATTAGGTGTGGTGCCCTCACGACCGCCCACACTATACGGCGTATCGCCAACAACGCCATTACCGGCGTTAAGCGTGGTGCCCTCACGGCCGTCCACACTATACGGCGTATCGCCAAAAATATCATTATTGACATTAGGTGTGGTGCCCTCACGGCCGCCCACACTATATGGCGAATCGCCAACAACGCCATTACCGACGTTAAGCGTGGTGCCTTCACGGCCGCCCACACTAAATGGAGTATCGCCGAAAATGTCATTACCGACATTCAGTGCGGTGCTCTCACGGCCGACCGCACTCGGTGTAGTTTCACGTGCCACCATGCACACATCAAAGGAATCACATCCTTGATCAGTCGGCCCTAGGCCAACCATGCTTTAAGCATGCAGTGACTCGTTATCACAACGAGTAACACCCAACGGAGTACGTGCCGTTTCACTAGTTTCAGACGAGCTAGGCTCGAAACTTATGTTTGTAACATTGGAGTTAGATAACTCAGACATTCCAATATCCAGCGCATTGACATCTTCTGTCAAAGGCTCTCGCAAATAGCGCTTTTGTTGCCTAGCGAAGGTGGGTTCATGACTCTCCAAAGCTTCGCTAGGAACATTGCGCGTAGCGCCTAAGGTCTTGGATCTCCAATCAATCCAGGGCTCATGGCTCTCAAGCCAAGCCATACCTAGGATGAGATCATATCTCGAGTCCAAATCCAGGACAAGACAGCGCTCAATACTGTCAAAGTTTAAAACTTTATACCTAAGTCCAATGGAACTTTAGGCACAGTTACGCGACTTTCAGTCGCTAAACGAACCGTGATAGAATCACCCTCATGCGCTGTAAGCGCCTCAGCATAACGCTGACTTCCCTCAAGGGAACGGCGTCGAGCATAATTGCAAGACGCTCCAGAATCGATCAATATTGACCAAGGCTTCTCAAAGCCCTTAATTTTCGCCTCGGCGACCAACAAGCCAGACTTGTATCCACGCACCATACCTGTAGGTATGGTACTATTTGGGGCTAAGCCCTGCATTCCTTAACCTTCTAAAGGTGTAACAGAACATAGTTCTTCCCCAGTAGGGCGCCTCGCGCCTACTGGGTGTCGGCATTTCCCCGTGCCATGCCAGACTTTTGACTCGGGGTCGAGTGTTGGCTTGTAGCCTGGCGTTGCTTACGCAAAGGGCAACCAGGCCGCAAAGGTTAAGTGCTTCCGCACGTAAAGCATCGTCGCAGCTTGAAGCTCAGCTTCACCTCCATCTTCAGCATAGCTTAGATCCATCGGTTCCGGCCTATTATAGGCAGTGGGACCCGAAAAGTTTGCTCTCACAGAGCGAGGATTGAATCCATTCCAACCAAGTCTGGCCGACTTAAAGTTATGGTCATCATTAAGAGCAATTCTCACAGCCTCTTCAAACGTAGAGGGGTGAACACGAAAAACCTCGGTTCTGGCAATGCCAGTACGTAGACCTTCCATGAAGATAGTCACATGGACTGCTTCAGGCAGAGGGTCAGACTGCATTGCAGCCATGAGCGTTCGCAGCTCTTGGACATAGTCCGATAGTTCATTCTTACCCTGGCGGGTAGAAAGAAAGCGTGAACGCACGCGGTAATCCTGGTTAGGTGGAGAAAACACCTGTACCAATTGTGACTTGAGCGACTCCCATTTGGGAAACGCTATGTCCACCGACGTGCTACACGTCAAGGCCCATTCTCTAGCTCTACCATCGAGCTTCGAGATAGCCAGCGAGACCTGTTGATGATCAAGCGTGATCAGACCTGATCTCATGGCCATCTCAATCTCACGGATCCAGAGGATGAGGTTCTAACCCTCCTTACCGGAGTAGTTTTTTACTTCCACTCTCAGTGGACGAGGCTTAGCCTCTTCGTCTGGTACAGACACGTAGCGTGTAGGCATAGCCGACGCTATTTGGTCTTGGACCTGCCCTAAAAGGGTCGCTTCATACTGCATACAGCTTTCAACACGTGCATTAAGCACTTAAGGACCTTGTGAAACAAGGAACTCCACGTACTCTGAACCCAAAGATGCGGTCAGCTTATCAAGCGCGACCTTTTGGGCCTCAGATAGGGGAGTGGAGTTTTCCATCCCCACAGAGGATCAGTCTTAAAGACTCAGGCGTAGATTGACTACAAGTGCTACCAAGTGTATCGGAGCTACAGAGCTCCTTAAGTCAGAGGAAGACTTAACGCTCTACGAGAAACTTAGTTCCAAAGAGCTAATGACTTTACGAGTCAACAAGCTTTACAGCTTCAGATCCCTGTTCCAGGGGGACCTAACGATTCAGTGAATCTACAGCACTCAGTGCTCAAGAGTAGCTACCTCGAGGAGGTGTCGATAGCTCTTAGTGATCAGTGAGTAACGATCAAGACGGCTCGCAAGCCACGTGTCCTTCCGATCAAAATGGGAACTGATTTTATTTTTGTTTAAGCCTATAGAATATCTTAATCCTACTCAAAGATCTTTCGTACCTAATGGCTGACACTCGTCAGCCCCTACAAACCAATAAGATATTCGATATCACCTTCACAAAGGGGTAACCTCAGGTGTGTAACACCTCTGGTACAACGTACCATAATTTCGTGCAACCCCGTTACACGTAGACTCTCTTCGCAAATTGAATCGGACATGTGTAGACTCAGAGAGTCTCAAATCATTACAGACTTAATGAGACCCAAATCTTGAGTGTCCAAACAAGCTCGTAGAGCTAATCGTCTTGGTTCAAGATACAAACCACCTAACAGAAAAAAGTGGCACTACTGCGCAAGAGTCCCGTCCTTATAAAGGCTTACACCTCCTTACGATCAGCTAAGTCTCAAGAAGGCACATGTCAGCTATTAAGTAAGAGGTGAAATGCGTGTGTTTGCTATTTTATGGCGACAGGAAAGCCTACCGACGTGTTTAACCTATAGACTCTGCTAACCATTCCAGTAATCTTAGTACATGTTTTTTGAATAATACCGTATCAGAAACTATGACTTACTTGTAATGCACATTACGATAGGTAGTATCCAACTGTAATTCGATGAGGTGCAGTGTATCAATATCGTACGAAACACAAGAATACGACAATCAAAATCACTGATCTTCGTTATGTGCCGCACGACACAAAAATTGATATACCAGTCGTCATGTGACCCCATTACACCCCCCTCACCAAACTACCCATAATCGACATTTTTACCTTTTCGTCAAAATAGCGTGGTGTGTTGTGTTCCCAAAACCTACACTCGGACAATGATGTCATATTCATCTGAATCTTAATAAAACTTATCAAGAGAAGACAACAAAGTCGACTACGACACCCTGACACGGTCGTGTCTGAGGGTGATGGGCCCGATACTGATACATCGGTGTCTAGCGAGTTCTCGTGCTTAGTGCCTAATTTTTCCCCTTATAAAGGCACAGTCCATTAGGTAGCAGCGCTTTAATCAGGTTGTGCACTTGAGGCAGGTATGATCACCATCATTCTTTATAAATACCAGCGACGGTGTTGTGACGCTAATCAGTTGCAGTAAAATATATTTATAAGCTGATACTTGTTGCAGAACACACCCAGCAATTTACAGGACAACTATTATCCATTCAGGCCACATGATCCTAGAACATTACGGTGGTCGACATTTTTAAACGGGATGGTCCCCGAAAGAGGTGCCAAACACCAGAAATGAAGCCATCTCAAGAATACTAGACCTAGTTGCTGGGCCAAGCACGAGGTGTATCTGTGCCTGTACAGACGACAGTTCCGATTGTTTTACACCTCGATGAGAGTCAAGCAAAGACCGACACCATGTTTATTTGTTCGCTCATATAGCACGTCGCTTACCTACCATGAGATTAATACTCAAAGGCGGAAGCTCATTTGAAAGAGAACTGAGATATGAATTCGCGAAGCTCAAAGCCTGAAGCAAACTTCGATCGATCTACAAAACTCGATACGTGCAATGCGCAGGTAATCAACTCTATTTAGGAATTCCGACACATATGCACCTACTAGGGGAAAAGAATTTGAGCATTAAGCTGACCATCAGCACGACGCTTGATACGTCAACGGCGTATGCGCAGACTTGCCGAAGTGGCACCTCAAACTCCTATGAGTTTTCAGATGCAGGGTAGCCGCGCCACTTTACCAGATACTGGTGTTAATTTTTGAGACGACCCGCTTCACGAGATTATCCTTGATGTGATCGTTACATCGGTACATGCCTATGAAGAGCTCGTGTCAGGAGTAACGTGGCTCAATAATTTCCTCGCTCGCATGCAGAGTGCCTTGGATCATCCTGAGGATGAGGGAACCAACTATGGTAAATCCAGTGCAAAGCGCTCACTATTCCAAAGCGCTCACGTCACGTTATCGACTACGTTGGCCCTTTTTCTTTAAACAAATAAACCGTTTTTCTTGATCTTCTCGGCCGATAAACGACTTGAAAGGTGAAGTGCAACCTGTATGTTTGTATATAGGGTAGAACCATGGACGGAGATTCAACTATCCAGGAGCTCTAGTTTTCAGACCAAGATGCTTCCTGTCCACGATAGAGAATCTTGACAAGGCTAGACTATTTCAGCATAGAACACTGGGTTTGTGCGCAGCTTGCGCGGAGGGGGGGGGGTAGTGTAAAGGCGAGGTACTCTTTGGTAGAGAATGTGAAAGGTTAAATGAAGCCCGTACCCAAATTTGTATCAAAGACTACGGATCTTTTACCTGTTTGTAGGTTTCGAGCTTGTGTAGAACCTGATTTACAGCAATACATCCTCTGCCCTTAGCATCTACTTGTTCCTTTTGTTTGTCTTTACTATCATCTATTCTTACACACACGTGTCACAAGATACTAAATCGAAATACGGAAAACGCGCTTACCATTTTGGTACTGGTTAGACTTACATCAGCAAGCTTGTTGGCAAAATTTTCCCATCTAAGAAAAGAAGCATGCAGTAGAATTGCTAGCGGAACAAGAGGGTACAGCAAATTTTATTTACGTAGAATAAGCAATAACTGGTAGCTGAATGAACGGCGTTCTTTGATGTAAACTCCATAGCAACGAGCATTAAGCTACTCGTTTTCGAAGAATTGTCACAAAAATCTGAAAGATCATCTCTGATGGCGTGATTAACCCGCTCAGGTTGACCATAGGTCTTCGAGTGATCCTCTGTGGACATGTTCTATAGAGTGCCAGGCACACTATAGATAATATTTAGAATTTCATGGATTCTTGCAAAGACATTGCCGCCGAAAACGTGCTGACAAATGACCAATCTGTAGACAGCTTGTGTATATCTTCGTCATCAATAAAGTCCGGCATCGCCGTTAAGCTAGCCATTTGCTCAAATGATCCCGAAAACTACAATTAGTGTGTCGTGGCT